TGTGGAACTAAGTTTCGCTGGTTTTGATCTGCTCCTTTGCTAATTGCTAATTGCCTTCAAGACTGGTACGGGCGCATCTGCGCTGCTGCGTTCATGGATCACGAGGGCGTGTCGGCATATCTGTATTACAATATGTATTTGATTGCGTATTGTGTGTGTGCGCATAAAGCGTGGTTTCCTCCACACAGCCTAAAGACACGCCGTCGAGGTTAATCGTGATCTCTGGACTGTCTCGCTGAGGTGCGAGCGCGCCTCGGGGTGCCTGGTGGCCTTTGTCCGCCAGGCCTGGTCCTAGCTCGCCGGCGGTTATGGGGAACCGGGGGATGTGTGAGTCTATATATACAGGACGAGGAAGGAGAGAGGCGCGCGTCCCCCCCCGGCCGCGAGTGGAGCTGTGGGCTGGCGGACCAGCTCCCTGGCGCTGGTAGAGGGGGGGGGCACGCGTGGGCTGTGTGTCCGCGGGGGGAGTTTGATAATGCGGCAGATGTCGGCGGGGGTGGCAGAGTAGCGTTTCGGCTGGTTCCTTGTTCTCTGAACTCTGAACTCTGAACTCTTTCCGATTGCAGGAAGCGGTTGTCCTCGGGTCTTGCCCCCCGCCCAGCCGTTAGCAGGAGGGGCTGAGCTGTGGGGGTTCCCCTGCCTGAGCTGGTCCAGGCCGCGCTGGTGTTCAGTGAGACCCCTGTACCCCTCTTGTACCCCTTACACCCCCGGCCTGTTGCAGCGGGTGTCAGGGGACTGGACTCTGGGCTCTGGGAGCGCGAGACTGAGAGAGCGCTGCCGGGCTCGTGGGGCCTCTGGCCTCGTCCCCAGGCGGGGGGCCACTGCACCCTGTGGCACGGGGTTCCTGCTCTTGTTGTGGGGGGCGGGGACGGGGGGGCTGCAGTAGATGCTGGGGGGGTCACTGCTGTCCGAGTCGCAGCAGTCGCGATTGCGGTGACTTCATCCTCTCCCCGTAACGCCAGTGTGCGCCGTCTGTGTCTGTGTACACCGCTGTGCAAAAGCCGTTATTTCACACAGCCTCCCCTTGAACACACGCGAGGCTGCAGATGACAAGAGGCCGGTCGGCCCGTCCAGCTCGCGTGGCGGCTTGAAGGTTTATCGATCCCGGGATCTCACCCAGCGGGGCGGCGGCTTCAGCCTGTTCCACGCTCCCCCCACCCTTGGCGTAAAAGGGTGCCTCCTGCCGTCCGTTCTGAAAGGCGCTCCTTTGTTGTTTGCACGTGTGTGTCCCCTGCTTCGTGTTACACTTTTCTTGCTGGGGGAAAAAAAAGAAAACTGGTTTCTTGATGGCTTCGAGGGGTTTGAACCCCTGTATCAGGTCCCCTTGTAGCTTCTGGCCAAATTTCCCTCTGGCCCTTACCAATCATGGCTTCTAATACCCTCCCTCTCTGAACTGGCTCCATCACTCTGCTCTCCTCCCCACTGAGAGCTGGTGTGTGGGGAGAGGACTGGAGCATCATCCAGGTGGGGCTGCACACTGGTGGGGGTGGAGGGGATCCCCATTACCTGTGAAGCGCTTTGAGTGGAGTGTCCAGAAAAGCGCTATATAAGTGTAAGGAACTGTTATTAATTATTATTATTCTCCCTTTTGAGACTGAAGAGGTCCAGTTCCTCCACCCTGTCTACATATGGCATTCCCTCATGGGTCTGTCTTGGGATACCTGTGTCCCTTTCGCTCTGAGCAGAAAACGAGTGCAATGTTTCCCATTGAAACTCTTCGGTTCGATAATACAAAAATGTGTTTAAATGTCAAGTTTAGAAATAAATTATGGAACATAAAAGAGAGAAAACGGAACTGACATCAAATTAGTTGAAATACGTGTGCCGAATCAAAAAATAAAGGGGCTGAAATAATCGGCATATTTTATTTCATGCAGCCAAAGCTGCTGTCAGGGCAGTTTTTTGAAGCCAAGCTGTTTTCCTTTTGGGCGACAACCTTTCACAGCAGGCGATGAGGTTGGCTCTCTTGCCCGCTGTTTTTGGCTGGTTTGATTAGGAGCCGGAGGACCAGGATAATCAATAGCAGCCTCTTCCCTTTCATGTCTCGCAGCTGGGCAGCTCACTTCCCAGTGCCCTCGCCCGTGACCTCTCACCTCTGACCTCCGACCTCCAACACCGTCCGGCTGCCCCTGCTCTGTGTTGAAAGGGGGTCGTGACCGTTTTTAAACTGCAAGATGCCCAGTTCTGCGACTTAATGGGTCTCAACCTTGAGCTCTGGTCCAAAGCACCCGACTTTAACCGAAGGGTTTTAGGGTTTGTTTTTATTTATGTCTGAGGACATGTGGATGGAAAGCAGTCTTGTTAACTGGAGCATTTTGTCTGCAAACTTCAAGCGTAGATGCATGTGGGGTTCACGATCGTGATATAATCTTTCATACTTGAGCGTTCAGAGAATGCATTGATATATCTTACAAGTTGTGCGTCATGTGCTGTTTTCAGTCCCTACAGAAAAATGATTCATTTGCTACACGAACTTGTAATCTCATTCTAGATTAGACAGTTCCGAGCTGCAGTCAGTTCAGTAGCTCCTGGAAGTGTGTCTGGGGAGTACTGTTGTCCTGGAACGCGAGATTCGGTCTCGGCCTGTTTCTTCCCTGGGAATCGTGATAGACTGGGATACTGTGAGGCAGGCTGTCGTGTAGCTGACCAGCACCAAGTTTAAATTAGGATTCATGCGTCCGCTTGTTTTCAGCTTGAGAGTTCCTCCTCCTGCGCCCGGCGCACAGACTGCACGTGTGGCCCGTTAGAAACGTCGAGACCGTTTGAGCCAGGGCGGCAGTTCTTCTCCCAGGAGCAGGATCGGGGCGGGGGGGATACAGAAGCAGTGGGAAGCTTGAGCAAAACCTTCCCCACGGCTACAGAAACGCGTTTTTCAGAAAAACAGAAACAAAGATCAGGGCGATCCATGGGGGGCAGCTGGCAGGGAGAGAGGGGCTCCCCGGCCGCTCGCCTGGGTCAGACGCACCCCGTCACCGGGGGCCGGGCTGCTGCGCGTTCGCTCTCGGGGGTACCCCTCGTCTGCCGCCCTCGGGCTGGGGTCCTGCTGAGCCTGTAAAGACACTCACACAGGTACCACTGGCCCGGGCCTGGCTCACGAGAGCACCCAGCCGACCCGGATCGTCCGAGAGGACGTGGCCAGTGTGGGCCTCGGCAAGCCTCTTGGCAAGACCGGACCCCCCGAGCAGATCGGGCCCCCCCCCACCCCTCCGCGCTGGCATTGCGAGAGGTGGGCGTGTCCCTGGGGCGCGGGCCCTGCAGGTCCCCTTTCTGCCTGCACGGATCTGGGGGCTCAGATCTGAGGGCCAAGCCCCAAGCACCTCAGTGATCCCCAAGTAGGCGGTATAATAAAACCAGGAATCCCGACTTTTTTTTAAAAAGTAAGAAAGCGCGTGCCGATTGCTTCCGTGTTGGAAGGGGCAAACGTCCTGCCATCAACCGTTGAGACGTCCGTCAGAGGGCAGAGACCAGAGGCGCTGCGGATGCCAGTATCTTCCGCGCAGAGGTGTTAAGAACAGGAAAGAGGATCCCTGCCACCTATCTTCTCATTTGGTAGTTAGTTTATTAGATAATTGACCCCAGGATCGCCTCCAGCTGTCCATCAGTTTCAATGGCATGGCTAGGCAGCCTGTTCATCACTCCTACACCCCTTAATGTAAAGACGTGCATCCTGTTCACTGTTTTAAATGCCATTCCTATATACTTTTTTCCTATTTTTTTCTATTTTTTATAAGATCACAGGATAGAGAATTCAATTCATAATACTTTACTCACCACCACGGGGGCAGTTTAAGCAGCAACAAAAGTGGTGCAACAACAACACCAAAAGAACAACATTATGAAGAAAACAAATAAAGCGCCCGTGCTCTTAGATCAAGGGCTCCCAGCCATGGTCCTGAGGAGCTCATGGCTTGTTTTTATTCCACCTGAGCACTCAGTTAGAAAAATGAGTCCTGACTAGACCAAATTGTGAATTTAATTTGGGCTCTATAATTTTTCCAGCTCCTTAAGGCTACTTCTTACATGTTATTAATTATTCATTTTATGTTACTTAAGTTCTCCAAACTATGAGTAGAACAAATGTGTGTACTTTCTAACCAAGCAACCTGTTAGTTCAGTTAGGAAGAGCGCAGCTACAGTGAAACTCAAGTGGACTGGTCGCTTGTCCACTGGAGAACACACACTAGCTCATTGCAGGACAGACACACACCCTGAACTGGTCACTAGCTCACTGCAGGACAGTAAACAGCCTCTGGACTGGTTACTAGCTCACTGCTGGTCACACACCCCCTGAACTGGTCACTAGCTCACTGCAGGACACACACAGTTGGAGTGTATGTGTCTGTATTTGTGAGCATGTGTTCTTTGTGTGTCGGAGTGTGAGTGTGTATGTGTGTGTGTTTGGGTTCCTCTGTGTGTGTGCATGTCTCTGTGTGCGTTCTTCTGTTAGTGTGTTTCACTGTGTGCCCATGTCTCTGTGTGCACACGAGTGCGTGTCTCTATATGCAAATTTGTCTGTGTGTGTCTCAGTGTGTGCATACATATTCCGCGTGCACGTCTGTGTGTGTGTCTCTGCGTGGACGTCCGTGTGTGTGTTTCAGTCTCTGTCTCTGCGTGCGTGTCTGTGTGTGTGCCTCAGTGTGTGCGTGTGTCTCTGCATGCACGTCTGTGTGTGTGTGTGTGTGTCAGTGTGCCTGTGTGTGAGAGCCCTGATGGTTTCGATGACTCTCTGGAAACCAGGCCCGGGACACTCTGGGGTTTGACTCCTTGCCGATATGTTTTTCTCCCATTTTCTGGATCTATTTTTAGCTGAGGTGGCGAACTCCAGACTGCCTGAAAAAAGGCCTTATTCTTTTCTCCTTTTTTCACTTGGGAAGAATGTAGGATGTTTACTTTATAAATTGTTACCTGCTCCCTCAGACCAAAGCCATTTGATAATTCTGATAAAAGTTTTTTTCATTTTTTTTAACGTTCTGTCTTCTTCTAAAACCAATAGTCATAAAAAACCCATAAAAGATAAATATGTTTAACAATCTCTCTTTAAGCCTTCCCGTATGCATTAACCATTTTAGTTAGACTCATGCATTTTCTAGTAGAGCTGGTTACAGTTTATTTAAATGCACAAAGCAGTTATCCTGCATTTACCCTGCGGTTGTGCGGGGAGAGAGGAGCTCTGCTCTGCGGAAGGGAAGCTGTCCGGAAGTGCTTGCCAGGCGCAGGGCCTCATGGTGCCGAAAGCAGAGAAGGACAGATCCAGCTTGTTCGGTTCTCTGCCTGTGTTGAGACAGAGCCTGGCGCAGAAGGGTTTTCTCTGTAATAGGCGGCCACAACCTTTCGTAAGTTTCACAGTGATGAGAGTGGCAGCTGGTCATTCTTTCTGGAGCTGAGCCGAGCCTCTCATGCCGCCCTTAATGGAGCAGGCCTGAGATTCCGCTGTGTCTGCTGCTGGTACCAGGTAGGGCCTGACTTAGATGATCATGCAAAAGGCTGACACTTGTGTCACGGGGACCACAGTATAGAAAAACCAAGATGACATCTTGTGTGCATTTTAATCCAGGGGCGCTTGGTGGGATTCAGCCAGGAGATAGCTAAAGGTGGCGTTTTCAGGTGTCCAATGGGACAGCAACATCCCGGGAGATAGCCTGAACAGAACAGCTGCCAGGATTGAGCATTTCCTGTCAGATCTGGTAGAAATGGACATCGTGCTTGATGCATTGAAATTTAAAACATCACTAGGTCCAAGCCTCCTCAGCAGGGAAAAGTAATAAATCGATCTTGGAATACAAATAAAAAATCATGCTAAAGGGTCCATTTAAGAGACAGCTCCATCTTTGTCTGCATGTGTCTCAGTTTGTAAAGGGGGTCTTGTTGCAAGGCTGGAGTGAGGACAGCCTGTGTGCTGTCTCGCTGGCAGGCCGATCGGCGGCCCGGATGAAGTGAGTGGCTTATTTCAGGCTGCAGGGAAGATCCTTAAAGAAGGCCCAGACATCCCTGTGCCAAGACAGCCGGGCCTGCTCCTGCCAGGAGAGCCAGCCCAACACGTGGAAGTAATAGAGCTCGATGCTTAAATGGTGTCATCATATGGAATCAATTAAGGCCATGTGGGGGACAGCCTCTCCCTTAAGATGGCCAGAGCTCCCGGCCGCCCGGGCCCGCCTGTGGGCACGCTGCCCGCGCCGCTTGAAGAGCTTGCTGGGACGTCCCGCCCGTCTGCGTCCTGCAGTTCTTCCGCAGGGCAGCCGCCGCAGCAGAGTCCTGCAAAACCCCACAGCCCGCGAGACACTGAGCACAGTGCGGCCCGCGAGACACTGAGCACAGTGCGGCCCGCGAGATACCGAGCACAGTGCGGCCCGCGAGATACCGAGCACAGTGCGGCCCGCGAGTTACCGAGCACAGTGCGGCTCGCGAGTTACCGAGCACAATGTGGCTCGCGAGTTACTGAGCACACTGCGGCCCGCGAGCTACTGAACACACTGCATCCCACAAGCTACTGAGCACACTGCAGCCTGAGAGTGCTTGGGGTGCGGGCTGTGTCCAGTGTAGGAGGGGTCAGGACTCGGGGTGCAGGCTGTCTGCGGATTCTCATGCTGTGAATGCGGACCTGTTTTTTATATCTCTGCTCCATGCTTTCCCCTTCCTTCTTTCCTTGTGAAAGTTCAATTACGGAAATGAATGTAATAGAAAGAAGGAGGAGGAGGAGAATATCTTTCAGGGCTCGCGCTCGTCTGCTGGAAGCACAGCTCTCCGCTCTTTCTCTTCCTGGAGCTCTGAGGCGTCTGAAAGGAGCCCGTCAGGCGTATTCACAGCTGCTCTCTTAATGTGCAGAAAGCTGCATGTCTTCCTGTGCACCGATCTTTCCCAGTGGATCTGCAGGGGGAAGGGGGTGACTGCGATGTACTGTGCTTTCCAGCGGGGGGCTGTGGACAGGAGCGCCTGCTGCAGTACTGTTTTGGGGGGCTTGAGGGCGCCGTGCCTAATCCCTCTTCCTAAACCCTTTCTCATCCCTCGTTAGGCTCCTCCTCCTCCAGTCCGCGGCTCCTGACCAAGAGCCTGTCCCTGGAGCCGGGGCCCTGCCTGGGGAGCCGCGAGACCCCCCAGCGCCTCTGCTCGGACCCCGGGCCCCTGGGACCCCAGGACTGCAACGGCACCAGCGAGAGGGGGCCCCCGGAGCTGCCCCCTGCGGGCCCAAAGACGCGGCCCCCGCTGCCTGGACCCAAGCCGCAAGGTAGGTAAACGCTGCCGCAGCCTGGGGGGGACGTGAGGAATCACAGGGAAGAGTTGAGGAATTACAGGAAAACTTCAGGGGAACCAGTGTTCAAACCCACAGTGGAATTCAGCCAGGCCAACACCTCTGCTCCTCCACCCGTTGTAGAGATCATTAAGGACCTTGGAGTGGTCAGGACCAGCTTCCCCTGTCTGCTGCTCAGGCATGGTTTGGACACTCTGGTCAAGAGGGAAGAGCGCCCCCTGCTGGTCCAGCACTACACACAGAAGCTCCCGGGCCAGATCAGACTACAAGGCTGTGACTCTGCCTCGGGCAGCACAGGCGCAGTGAACTGGAGACAATAATTTGATTAGTGACAGACAGAGTTGTTAGTGCCGTAACTTTACAGCAGAACCTTCTCTGCTATGAAGTTCGCTACACAGGCTCTTCAATTTAAAACCTCTCATGTTCGTTACCCGCCCTCCCAATTTGGATTCAAGACCTGGCTCTTGCGACTGGGACTCCTGTGCTCACTGGAGCTCTAGCAGCTCCGGTTAGAGCTGTTCCTTTTTTTACAAACACTTCAGCAACTGAGTGGCCAGTTACTTTTTCAAGTTAAATTCCAAAGGCACAAGTCAGGATCCCTCTTCACCTGCTCTCCGATTGGTACTTGGAAATCTGCTCTGTGATTGGCCCTTTGTGCAAGTTGGCTTCCCTGTGTGTGGAGCTGCTCTTTCATTGGTCCTTGATGTGTGTCAGCTGCTCTGTGATTGGCTCCGAGGTCAGCGTGCACAGAGATGCTCTTCGATTGACCAAGAATGTCAGTGTGCAGAAAGCTGCTCTGTGATTGGTGCTTGATGTGTGTCAGCTGCCCAGTGATTGGCTACGAGTGTCAGTGTGCAAAAAGGTACCTTGTGATTGGCTAAGATCGTCAGTGTGCACGGAGCTGCTCTGTAATCGGTCCTTGATGTGCCTCGGCTGCTCTCTGATTGGTGTGTTTTGTGCTGGACCTCACAGTTCCCCCAAAGCCGCCCCATCTGCAGGGCCTGCGCCTTCCTCGGGGTCCTGACAAGCCCATCCCCCCGCCTCCCTCCCGCCCCCTCCCTGCGGACCCCCGGGCCGGCCGCGCCACCCTGCCGCGCACAGAGGGGGGCGCCACTCCGTCCTGCGTGCTGTCGCTCATCGAGAAGTTTGAGAGGTGGGCCTTTCTCTCTCTCTCTCTCTCTCTCTTTCCCCTTGTCCGCTGTCTCTCTCTGCCGCCCTCTTGCTCCCCCCCTCCTGTAGTGGAGCTCAGCTCAGTCCAGTTGGTGTGTGATGACGAGTGCAGCGAAATGCTTCTTTGCTTGTGCGCTCCCATGCAAAGACATGAAAGGAATCACCAGAAACGTGAACACAGAACAGCAGCAGCAGCAGCAGCAACAACAGCAACATCACAACAAGTTAACATAGAACTTAAAAAAAGGTCAGACAAGCAGTATGAGAAGAAAAAAAGAAACGTCAGTGGGAGCCAGTGGTGGGGGTAGAGCTCAGTAATCTGACAGCCTGCGGGAAGAAGCCGTCTCTGAATCTGGAGCTACGAGCCCTGATGCTCCTATAACGCTTACCAGAGGGTAGGGGAGAGAAAGTGAGAAACGAGATGATTGTTATCCTCGGCGATACTCCCAGCCTTCCTGAGACAATGAGGGTGATGGACTGGGCTGACCTGGTCACCCCTCGTTCTTTCTGAAATGCCCTGTCCTCATTGCTGCAGTACTCCCCTGGCTGCCCCTGGAGCACAGAAATGTCCCACTTGCTCTCCTAATTTCCTCTGTCTTTTCGTTGGTCACTCAGAGAGCAGATCATCGTGGTGCCCGATATCAGTGGTGGCTGCCTTTGTCCTGCCCGCGCCTCCGAGCCGGAAACCGAAACGGCAGGAGAGATTCCTCCCTCTCCTCCTCTGGAACCACCCAGACTGTGTCCCATGCCCCTTGAGGGCCGGGGGGTTCCAGGGGGGACAGCTGAAGGGATGGAGGGGGGTGAGGAGGAAGAGGAAGAGGAGGGCGAGAGTGGGGCAGCGGCCAGGTGTCCCGAGCGACGCCTGTCCTGCGAATCGGGCTACAGCGCCTCCGACAAGTTATTGGACGCCCTGGAGATGAGGGACCTGCTAGCCGGCCAATCGGATGTCCCCTCGGACCGCTTGTCCCTCCCCCCGCCTCAGACGGACGGCAAGCTGGCCAACCGGGACAGCGGGATCGACAGCATCAGCTCCCCCTCCCACAGCGAGGAGCTCTGTTTCGTGGGGGAGGAGGAGAGGGCGGGGCTGCCGGAGAGGGACCGCCCCCCGAGCCCCGCCCAGCCCCTGCCCCCCCTCTCCCCTCGCTGCCCAGCTGGAGAGGGTGAAAGGGGTGCCACAGGGGGCCGGGGGGTCTCCCGCTACTCGGAGGGGGACAGCGACATGGAGGAGGGCAGCGGGGATGAGAGTGAGCTGGCCTCCACGCCCACCCTCCAGCCTTCCCTGGCCAGCCCCCTCAAAGCAGAGAGGCAGGACTCGTCTGAGGTGAGCCCCCTCCTTCTTCCTCCTCCACTATTACCGGTTTGGTGTTCGATATTTCCCTTTCGAAATTGGACATGACCATCACAGGAGTGCAAGGGAGAGAGTGAGACACGTCCCCACCCAGCGACACACTAAGAGCTCCACAGCGCTCCACAGTGGCGCATCTCTGCCTGGCGTCACTGTGAGTCTGCAGGTTCCCTGCCCCACCCCCCCCCTACAGCAACACTCAGCCCAGCCCCCAGACTCCTTCCCACCCCCGATCCTCCTAGTGTGAACACAGTGGATAACAGCTTCATGTATTGAGGAATAACAGTAGATTGTATTAGAGAGCTGCTGCACGGCTGTAGATTGAGCAGCAGGAGGGACACAGCAGAGGTTCTCCAAGGGAAGTCCTGGGTGTGAGACTTGTACATGCACAGAGGCAAGCGGAAATGTGAGAGATTAGGATCTAACCTTCCTCCAGAACTTCCGTTATAAACTCCTGGCTGCAAAGGAACAGGCACAGGTTTATTCCAGGCTTAAAATCACACTCCACACACCTGCCACACCTGAAGAAGGCTCTTTTCTTTTCAACACGGGATAAACCTTTACCTGTATCTATTGTCAAGTCTGTTAATATCTGTAACAGTAGAATGTACTGTAAGCTGTCGACTTGTGCCCTCTGGGTACGGTGGCCTCTCTGCGTCTGAGCGCGTGCTGTGTGTCTGTCCTGCTCAGCTCTCCACGCAGCAGAAGGTGTTCAACATCGCCAACGAGCTCCTGCTCACAGAGAAGGCCTACGTGTCCAGACTGCACCTCCTGGACCAGGTACGCTCACCTGCACAGCCCCCCCTCTCTCCTTCTTCTCTGCCCATTGCATCTGACCACATCTTCCCAGCGTCCTCCCCCCCCGTCCTCTCTTAAATGTCCCATTTTGTACCTCCCTGTTCTCTCTTCCCTCCTCTCCTGTTTCTCTGCCTCTCCCTGCTGTGTCTCTCTGTCTTCCCGTTTCCTGCTCTGTCCTTGCGTGGCGTTTTCATGCCCTGGGGAGCTCAGCTGTTTCCCTGGGGGTCTCTTCTTCTTTTCTTCGTGTGCAATGCTGCTGATAGAGTTCTGTGTTTCTGTGACTTGAGAGGCTGTCTCTCTCTCTCTCCCCACCCCTCCTTCCTTCCCTGCCCCCAGGTGTTCTGCACCCAGCTGATGGAGGAGGCTCGAACCCGCAACTCTTTTCCCTCGGAGGTGGTGATGGGCATCTTCTCCAACATCTGCTCCATCTACTGCTTCCACCAGCAGTTCCTGCTCCCGGCCCTGGAGAAGCGCATGGAGGAGTGGTGAGGGAGGGGCGGGGCTGGGCAGGGCCAGGGTGGGGTGGGGGTGTGGCCAGGGTGGGGCAGGTGTTGTGGGGAAGGGGGCGATGTGCCTGTCAATGTGCTGGTCGGTTGGTCAGCCCGGAAGGGTGATGATCAAAATGAAAATGATGAGTCTGTGAGTACATCGGTGTGTCATTCAGTCAATCAGTGTGTGGGTGCCAGTCTCTGCCTGCCAGTCTGTGACTGTGTGAGTGTGTTGGTCAGCCTGAAAGTGTGTCAGTCAATCAGTGTGTTAGACACTGGGCTGCTCAGTCAGTTTATCAGTGTGAAGCTCCAGGTTAGCGAGGGAGACTGGGTCTCATTTGTTCCTCTCATCTGTCCCAGGGACTCGAACCCGCGGATAGGCGACATCCTGCAGAAGCTGGCTCCCTTCCTGAAGATGTACGGCGAGTACGTGAAGAATTTCGACCGCGCCATGGAGCTGGTCAACTCCTGGATGGAGCGATCGTCCCAGTTCAAAACCATCATCCACGACATCCAGGTACCGTCTGTCTCTGGCAGCACGGCGCTGGGGAAGCTCCAAACAGGCCCCACGGTCTCACTGCACAGGGAGTCTCAAAGCCCATCGAGGATTGAGTGAGCACTGCTGGAGAGAGGTGTCAGCGTAGATCAGGACCCTGTGCAGACGCCAGAATCTGGAAGGGAGTGAAACAGACACGGGGAGGAGACGATGAGAAGCTGGGCAGGCTGACGGACAGGGGGGCGTGACAACTGAGCACTGGTGCTCTGGGGGGGTGTGGTCCAGGCGTACAAGTCCAAGGTTTAAAAACTGGAGTGGGACCCGGTGCAGGGACAGGGAATAAAAGGGTTAACGGGGCCAGGCGCTCCCAGCCCGGACCCAGATGGTCAGGACGCCGGGGTGCAGCCGAATGCCGTCGGGTCTCTCCTGGACCCACTGGTAGGCGGGCTTCCGGTCCGTCCATCTCCCAAAGCTGAGCCCAGATTGGTAGGAGCATCTGGCTTAAAAAGGGAGGGGCTGGACAGGAGGCAGGTGCACAAAACCAACTAAAACGGGAAAGAGCCGGAGCGCCCTTAAGAGGAGGGATTATGATCGGGACAAGAGGAGCCCATCCGGGTGACCTCTCACCCCCTGCTGGCCGGGGAGTGCAGATTTAAACACAGAGGAGTGCTCTCTGAGAGGAGGAGGAGCTGTCGGGTATCAAGATCGTAAGTGCCCACAGCTGCCTCCTCTCACCTCTCCCATCACGACCTTGATTTTAATTCGCCACTTTTGACTAGATGTCCACACGCTCTGTTTGGTTTTTAAAAACTTCTTCCTCACATTGCACATTGCCTAGATGACATAAATGATAAGTCGACGTAGACGCCTCAGTCTGGTTCAGAAGGAGCCTCTTCTAGGTCAGCGTGTCCTTTTTTTTGTATTTACAGTTTTTTACTACCTGCATGCAAAAATCCCGCACTTGTGTACTTTAAAAGTCATCTGCCAGAGTTTGCCCAATCTTGAGATTTATCTCGACATATTTGAATCTCATTTGCAGCTTTGCAAACGGTGTTTGCTAATGTCTCAGTTTGGTGCCATCAGCAAACTTGGCTAGTGTACTATTACCAAAGTCTAGATCGTTGATCTAAATTAGGAAGTGGTCCTAGTACAGACCCCTGGGGTACTCCACTATTCCTGTCACCCCATTTCCCTGATTACATTTCCTTAAGCTTGGGCCAGTCAAAGCACAGAGAAGGCACAGAGTCCAGTCGTAGCTAAGGCTTTTAAAAAACCCAGATATTCACCCTGCACCCTCAGGAAGAGGCCAAAAGCCAAAAATAGGCAAAATTTAAGGGTTTGAATAGATCCTTGAAAAAGACCCAGCCTTGTATTAATACTGTGTTTTGTTTCTTTTCTCTGGTGTGTCACTATGTGTCTTCCTCACCCTCTGTGTGTGTCTCTGTGCATCTCCCTCTGTGTGTGTATGTGTCTCTCTCTGTGTCTGTGTGTCTCTGTGCATCTCCCTCTCTGTGTGTGAGGGGAGCAGAAGGAGGAGGTGTGTGGGAATCTGACCCTTCAGCACCACATGCTGGAGCCGGTCCAGAGGATCCCCCGCTACGAGCTGCTGCTGAAGGACTACCTGCACCGGCTGCCCCAGGACGCCCCCGACTACAAGGACGCTCAGAGTAATAGAGCCGAGTCCCGAGAACTGTCTCATTCTGGCCATACTGAGGCATCGGTGTGATTAGTGTAGCCAGAGGAGAAGGCAGTTCCACACTGGGAAGTAGACAAACACAGAGTTTCAGCTGTAGGGCTCCTGCAGGGGTGTGGGAGAGAGAGGAAGGAGCAGGGATAAAGACAGGA